CTACCTCCACCTCCCAGATTCAGGCACTTCTCACGCCTCAGCCTCCCGAGTAGCTGAGATTACAGGTGTGCACCAACACAACCAGCTAATTTTTATATTTTTAATAGAGACGGGTTTTGCCATGTGGGCCAGGCTGGTGTTGAACTTCTGGGGTCAAGTGATCTGCTGCCTTGGCCTCCTAAAGTGCTGGGATTACAGGCTTGAGCCACCGCGCCCGGCCCTGTATGGTATTCTTAAACCCCTTCGTTTAGCTTTGGCCGTGGAGACTTGGAACAGAAGGTTAGGAGTTTTATAGGCCACAAGGACAGGCTGGTTTTCTGGGTTCCTGGGCACACAGCCTAACTCAGAAAAAAATAAAACACACATGAGAAAAATAGGCCAGAAAAACCTGATTCACAGGAGGCATGTCACTGAGTTGTACTTACTTTATATAAAGTAGTGGTTCTCTTCAAACTTGGAGTCTCAGGACCCCTTTATGCTCTCAAAAACGGAGGATCTGACTGAGCGAGGTGGCTCACACCTGTTCTCCCAGCACTTTGGGAGGCCGAGGCAGGTGGATCACTTGAGGTCAGGAGTTTGAGACCAGCCTGACTAACATGGCAAAAGCCCATCTCTACTATAAATATGAAAATTAGCTGGGTGATCATGGCTCACGCCTGTAGTCCCAGCTACTCAGGAGGCTAAGGCTGGAGAATCGCTTGAGTCTGCAGGCTGAGGCTGTACCGAGCCAAGATTACGCCACTGCACTCCAGCCTGGATGACAGAGTAAGACCCTGTCTCAAAAAAAAAAAAAAAAAAAAAAAAAAGAAGAAGAAAGAAAGAAAGAGAGGGGAGAGAGAGAGAGAGAGAGAGAGGATCCTATGTACCTTTTGTTTCTGATGGGCTAGATCTACTAATATTTACAACACTAGAAATTAAAATTGAGAAGTTTCAAAAATACATATTCACTTTAAAAGCACAATAAAAATTCCACTGCATAAATTCCTCATTTTTATGAAAGTAACTACATTTTCCAAAGCCCCAAAGACAATGAGTAAGAACGACAGTGTTTTGGTGTTTTGCAAATCTCCCTGGCCTCAGGATTAGTGGAAGACAGCTGGACTGTCCTTATCTGCTTGCATTTAGGCTGAGTTTGTTGCCATGTGTTGCCTTGGCTGAAGTAGAGGAAGAATGTCTGGCCTCCAAGCGGTATGGAAGTGGAATAAGGAGGAGTAGGTAAGCAGACTTTTTAGATAATGGCAGGTTAGCTTGAGTTTTCTAGTGTGGTTTCTTACTGGTTAGGTGCACTGTAGAATCTGGAACAGACACCTGAACATTCTTTAGGTGACTTTTAGGGATGTTTTAGCCCCCCCACCACCTGGGGCCCACAGGGATACACCCAAGGACAAGATCTCTCTCAGCCTTGAAGACATTTGCAGCCCAGCCCTGCTGCTCCTTCCTGCTTGTCTAAAACTTCGCAATTCTGTGAGATCATAGACGAATCGCATCTCTTCCGTGAAGGCTGCCCTCACTAAACAAGAATTATCTCTTTGTTTTCTCAATTCAGATATCGTTATTGTCTGTACCACTCATTTGGCCCTTAGTAATTGCTGTCAGTTTTTATTAATTGATTGATTGAGATGGCACAATCTCGGCTCACTGCAACCTCCATCTCCTGGGTTCAAGCGATTCTCCAACCTCAGCCTCCCGAGTAGCTGAGACTACAGGCGTGTCTGTACCACCACGCCCAGCGAATTTTTGTATTTTTAGTAGAGATGGGGTTTCACCATGTTGGCCAGGATGGTCTCAGTCTCTTGACCTTCTGATCTGTCCACCTCAATCTCCCAAAGTGCTGGGATTACAGACGTGAGCCATCACACCTGTCCAATGCTGTCAATTTTAAATTAACTGGCAGATAACCATTTGCTAATTTTTAATTAAGCTAATTGAAAACAGATTCTTGACTAGTACTTTTATTTATTTATTTATTTATTTATTTATTTATTTATTGAGAGAGAGTATCACTCTGTTGCCCAGGCTGGAGTGCAATGGTGCAATCTCAGCTCATTGCAACCTCTGCCTTCTGGGTTCAAGCGATTCTCCTGCCTCAGCCTCCTGAGTAGCTGGGACTACAAGTGCACACCACCACAACTGGCTAATTTTTGTATTTTTAGTAGAGACAGAGTTTCACCATGTTGGCCCAGACCATCTCGATGTCTCTTAATCTGGGGTTCGTGGATTAGTTTATTAGGGGCCCATGAACCCCCAGAACTTGTAAGTGAAATTGTGCATGTCTTTGTATATATCATTCTTCAGAAATATTGCTCCTCCTTTCCCCCCAGTAAAACATTAGTAACAACTAGGTTAGATTTTTAAGAAATATACGCTCCGGTCTTTTTTACAGTTTTTAAACCCAATATCTGCTATGATGGGATCAGAAAAGGCCACACCTATAAAAGCAAATTCTTCCTCCATTGTGCCAGTGGGCTTTAGTTCCTCTTTTCTATGTTTACATTGGAGTCCAAACCCTCTGGTTATTTTTGATATTCCAACATAGTCTGTGTTGGGAAGGGAGTTCTTACTCTGTTTCCTCCCGTGCACACAGCAGTTCGTACCAGGGAAGCAGAACATACCACTGCAGCACTTCAGCGGGGAACCTCTGTTTGTGCTCAGAAGTAAGATAGCATCCAACCCAGGGTCAGCAGACATCTTTGGGAAAGTGCGGAGAGTAAGGATTTGAGACTCTGCGGGTCACATGGGCTCTGTGGTGATGACTTGGCTCTGCCATTGCTGCACGAATGCAGCCCCAAACAGGAAAGTGAGTTGGCTTCTCGTGTCCAAACAGCTCTGTTTACAGAAACAAGCAGGGGCTGCATTTGGCCCGTGGGCTGGAGTTCGTGAACCTCTGATCTAATTCACAGCTCACTAGAACAGGAGTTATAGTTATAATAAGGAAGCACAACAGCCAGAAATTGGGTGGAATCCTGGGACTCTTAGGACTTTGGATTCCACCAATCATAGGTAATTCTAGTCTTGGCTAAAAGGGAGCACACAAGTCCAGAGAAAGCTGCTCATCCCAGGCAATGGCCCAGACAGGCAGCCCCGTGACACCCGCAGGGAAATAGGGGCAGTTTTGTGGTCATTGCTCCAGCGCTCACATACCTTCTATCAGAGACAATTTAAAAAGTTATTGTTTCCACCACCACAAACCGGGAGAGTGCAGGCTTCTGTTAGAAAATCTGGATTGCTCCCTGATCTGCCTCTCTGTAATTAGCGAACCTTTCTTTCTCTGCTCCGTGCACACAATGAATAAAACGTTCATGGCGTATGATGTCACCACAGCACTAGAAACACTGTCTTGATTGTTCCACTTTAAATTCTGCCTTTGCGCCTGGCTGTGGCTGCAGCTGCTGGTCATCCCTCCACCAGCTACTACTCACTTACCAAACTGGTGTTGACAGCTCCACCTTGCAGACTTCCCCGGCGGGAGGAAGGCCTGTGGGAATGGACATAGTAGGGAGAGCCTCAGGGCCTCCTTCCTGACAGAGCACAAATACAGTGGAAGCAGATTCGCAGCTTCTCGCAAGTTGAGTCTTGAGAATATGCAGAATCAGAATTCTGCATCTGGCAAGTCAGAATTTAAAACTTGGCAAGCACTTTGACTTATTTAGGTTTCTTTTATTACCAAGTTCATCAAAGGGCACTTTTCTTTCTCACTCTCGATAGAAATTCTTGGGCCTTGAGCGGTCATTTATTTGTTCTTGCTCTGGTGGTTCTTCCTTTTGTCTCTTGCTGTTCGGTGGACTGGAGGGGTCTATAGATGGTGAGTTTCTTTTTCTTCCTTTTTGTAAGTTGCGGTTTGTTCTCCCAATCCTGCATGTGACTGGGGTTGGGGGAATTCTGTAGTTGGCTTTGTCCATTGTTTTCTGTACCAGAACGTGGTTTAAGAACAGCTTTCAATGCTGTCATAATGACACCATGTTTGCTCCAGGAAAGCACACTTTGAATTACC